GCTCCTGTCATGGAGCTGCGTGGGCACAGTGCCAGGCCAGATGGCAAAGATGGGGAAAACTGCCAAAAAGGAGGTAAACAGGAAATGGAAGGAGGGCTCTAGCTGGGGGGGGGAGGGGCAGCCCGGGATCTCACCCCAATCCTGCCTTGAGAAAGAGGTCAGGTTGTAGAGGAGGTGGAGGAAGCGAAGACACAGCAGCTGTCCCAGAAAAGAACGAACACCGAGGTTTCGTGTCACCAGAGAGGAGGAGGGACTGGGAGGCCCACATCATCTTAATAAGCTCCACGCGCACAGATGTGGTAATGAGCATAGCACTACACGCATAGGCATGTGCAAAGACACACAAAGGTGTAGGTACGCTAAGAGACGTGCGCGCAAGATCCCTGCTAGCACACAATCACTATATACACACACCCGATAACACACAAGTGGGAGCATGCACCAAGGCGTGGACAACCAGGCCACAGAAGGAAGAGCAGACACAGCCCTGGCCTTAGGGACAATCTTCTTACCCGGACAGAGCATCAGGCAGCCTCAGGAGCACATCCCCACGCAGAGGTGCACGAACAGATCCCAGCGCCAAGACACTGAGGGGCCAGGGAAGCACCCTGGGGACGGCCCAGTGCACACCACCCGCCCTCCACACCACTCACGCACCGGAGTCTGGACAGCTGCCTTTCTCCTCCCCCGGGGCTCTTTCAGCTTCCTACTGGCAAGTCCGAGGCCTAGATTCCTGACGGCCTCAGGGCCTCTCCGGCCTGTCCCATTGCCCTCTGAGCTGGGCTGGGCACTGCTCTCTGCTGAGATAAGCCAGAAGGGCAGAGCTATTTTCTGCCAGGCAGGAAGTGAGAATTGAGTAAAAATGGGCAGGAGGCTAGGTCACGGTCATCCCTCTCGCTCCTCCACACAACCTGCCTGTGCCCATCCACACTTCTGGAGGCTGACCAGCCTTGCAGAGAGGGTTGAAGAGAAAGGAATAGGTGATTTGGGACAATGATGGGGGCAGGGAGGGGAGAGAAATAACTCTGTCCAGCTTCCTCCTGTCTACCACACTCTCCATGTGCACCCCCCCACCCTCCTGCACACCCGCCAAATGCCTTGCTCTGTCTCCTCTCTTTAGTCATTCACATCCTCTAGAAGTTTGAAAAGAAGGACTCTCAGATCTCATTCCCCTTGCCCCAGAAGATCTGTTCTAGAACAGCCCCAAACCTCATTTTAGATTCCGGAGGCCACAGCTGGAAATCACAGCCAGCCAGTACGTCCCACCCCTGTGCGTTCTAACCGCCCTGTTAGCTAAGTTCACTTCAGCTGCTGTGTGCGGGCAGCATTGGGAGGATGGCCCTTTTGCCCACAGACAGGCTTAATTCTAAATTATACCCCTTTTTAAAAAGATTTTATTTATTTGAGAGAGAGAGAGCATGCGCATGCACGAGCCGGGCGGGGCAGGGCGAGGGGGAGGGAGAAGCAGGCTTCCCGCTGAGCAGGGAGCCCCACTTGGGGCTCGATCCCAGAACCCCAGGATCATGACCTGAGCCGAAGGCAGACGCTTAACCGAATGAGCCACCCAGGCGCCCCTAAATTATACGTCTTAATACACGTATGTTCAGACCCCAGACAGATCCAAACTAGGCAGGAGTCTCCAGCAGAAGCTTACCGAAGTGTGAAGGCTTTGTGAACAGCTCCTAGAGCCGCTCTGAGGACACAGATGAACCCCGCTCGCCTGAGGGGTCTATAGCGCAGAGATAGTACAATGTCACCACCGTGAGTGGACGGCCTCTTCCTTCCCCGGGGGAGTGGGGGGACACACAGGCCCCCCGCGGCTGTTGTGCCCTATCTCCACGGTCCCTCTTCCTGTTCCAGGCCTGCTCTGCTTCTCCAGCCAAAATTCCTGCTCCAGCCTCTCCCCACTGGGCCCCACCTCAGCCTGTCTCTTCCTGCATCATCCAGTATCATCCTTTGCCATGTCTTCTCCCCCTGGGTATTCTGACCTCATCTCTCCCGTTTTTTTCTGGGCAAAAGCAGAAAGCAAAGGTGGCCTACAGCTCAGGAATTGGTTTCCCCTGTGTGTGGATGTCACCTCACCACCTGCACATCTCCCTCCACCCTTTCAGGAGCTGGAAAAACAGGAAATAAAGTCACCATCCAGAGAAGTCGCTCGGACCGGATCAGCCCGCTGCCACAGCCCTGTGCCCTGAGTCGTCCGTGCACATCTTGCCCTTGCTTTGGGGCCTGGATGGGTCTTGCCCCCACAGAGAAAGCCGGAGCCTTCTGATCTTTGACCTTGCTCTGAACTTGTGCTGCACTTCTTGCATGCCTCTGGCTTCGCCCTCCCCCTTTCTGCTGCTTCCTTCCGGTGTCCCCCCACCCCTGCACACAAGGTGTCTGCTGCTGGGGTATACTCCGGGGCAGCAGGCTGGGGGAGGGCCAACAACATCAGGCAGAGACAGATGGAGCTGGGCTCTAGTGTCTCTTGAGAGGCCAGGAGGTGAGGCTTACGGGTATGGGCAAGTTCCTATTTTCCCCTCAATCCTTGCCTCCATCTCCCCCTGGGGCTACAACTTCCTCACCCTAAAAGGAGCCGGAGATACAACCTGGTGGCAGTTCCCCTTCTTGTCATGTGGGCTCCCCTAAATATAGGTAAGAGGTAGGCAGCTGCCCTTAGTAGTGTGATCCAAAGTTATCCTAAGGCCTTGCCGACCCCCAGATAGTTCCCCCACCTGTCCTCAATATCTGAAATTCCATCCCCTTCATGCCACTCATGAGCCACATCCTATCAGAGTTATAGGGACATTAGAGACCGTCTCGTCTAATCCTCTCATATAGAAGATGGACACACTGGGTTTAAGCGGTGTTTCTCAAAGACCCCATTAAGATACAACTTGGTTAGCTGGGAAGGATAACTGCAAGAACACATCTGTGCCAGTAAACCCATTAGTGGAGTTTAATCAATTAGTTCATTGTCATCTAGCAGAGGGTTTGGCCTGGGGGGAAGGGGGAGGGGGAGGGGGTCCCGGAGTTAAGTTTTATCTGAGAGTGGGAAAGGGCTAGACACCACCCCCAGAGAGCCCTCCTCAGTGGCTGTGGGAAGCCCAGGGTTCAGCATAACCGTGGTGGCTTCGGGGGCGGGGGAAGGAGAAGACACATCTCCCCAAGATGCTCCAGTGTGAGGGCCTCGGGCTTCAGAGGGGCACTCCTGGATGTGCCAAGTGTGGTGGCTGCCTCCCCTGGCTTGCTCCCCTTTTAGCTTTTTACTCTATTCAGTAAGGTTCTCCAAGGTCCCATGGCGCACTCTCATCTCCATCCCCACCCATGAACCCCATTCTAAAGGAGGGACTTGTGCCCCCTGCAAAGTTCAACCCCGCGGTACCAGCCCCATACCTGTGCTCCCTGTGGCTTCCGCTGCCTGCTCTGGGCTTGGCTGGGCTGGTAGGACCTGCTCCTGAGGTGGGTGGGGACACGCTCTCCTGGCAGATCTCAGCATGTCCCAGCTCCCTGCACTCACCCAACCCCACACGGGGCAGGGAGAGAGAGGAAGCAGTGCCCTCAGTGGCCTTTGCAGCTGGTCAGTGAGAATGGCCCTCAGTCAAGCCCCAGCTCTTGCCTACTAATACCTCCCCCGACCCATTGCTCACACACTCCCTAGCTTCCGGGAAGCTCAACTGGCGCATCCACCCACTGATGCTAGATGACTAACCACCCACCCCGAGCTGTACTTACACCAGTTCCCCTGGGCGTCTCTTTCTCTTTTGCGTTCCAGCAGGTAGTTTCATTCTTGCCATTCATGGCCATGCCTGTCCCTGCCCGGGGCCATTCCTCCTTGCTTCTCTCTGGCTCCTGCAGGCTGTGAGCTCTGGGGGACGGGGGGACTCAGATGGTAGCCCCTCGTTCTGCGCCCTCTGGCTGGGCCCCTTACTTTCTGCATCAACAAGGCTGGGCATGTTGTCCATGCCCAATACACAAAAACAACTTAAAATTTTTTGAGTGTAGGTGAAAAAGGATATTGCGGTCAAATAAGTCTGAGAAACACTACGCTGAACAGGTTTCTCTATGACAGGACTTCTCATGGTCTTTACCATGCCATTAGAAGATTGACCATGTGTTCATAAGTGAAGCTGGGTGAAGGGTGTACGGGGTGCTTTATACTATTCTATTTTTGTGCGAGTTTGAACTTTTCCATAAAAGACAAGTGTTTTTGTTTTAATGCTGTTAATCACCGTGTACCTGTAGGAGGAGAGACTGTATGGTTTCCTGAACATATGTGTCCCTAGAACACATTTTGGGAGATCCCAAATTATTAACGGCCAATGCTGGAGTCACACCTCAATGTATGTTGTCAAGATGTGACCACCTCAAAGTTCAGATCATCTGGCCCATCACTGGATGTCAAATCAAGGGTTTCCTGAGCTCCAGGTCCCGGATGTCTCCTCCCTCCTGATGAAGTGCAAGTTCTGCCCTACTTCCCTGGGGTTATTCCCCCCACCCCCGGGACATGATCTCAGGCAGGCTCTGGCCTTTATCCTCCAGAGGGACAATCTTATACTCATCTGAAGTCACGGGCTTCAGAAATGAAGACACACGCCCTCATGGCCCACACAATCCCTAAGACCCCAGCCATGGCCTTCTTCAATCCAACCTCCAGATTCCTTAGGTCTCCTGGCAGTTGGCTACTTCCCTGAGTACAATTCATGAGGTCCTTTCATCTTCAGACGGATCCATAAATCCCAGCGGTTGGAGTGTTGATTCCCAGGGGGCAGGATGGCAGTGCTGAGTATGGGATCATAACCAAAGTAGGCCACACAGGTTGAAAATAAACACTTTATGCAAAGACATCCTTTAAGGTGGGTGGCGTTCCCATCATGGGCCTCTCTGGGACTGCTGCCCCAACCCAAGGAAAGTTAGTAGGAGCCAGGTAAGAGGCCCATAAGGGGCAGCCAGGAAGCAAACTGACAGATGGGGTCTAAGAGCAATGGAATGTGGGAAGGTCGGGCCGGGGTGGAGACAGTATGGACCCCAGCTCATCCAGCTTGGCCTAGAGTCAGGGTGCTGAATTCCTGGCTCCATCGAAGCACAAGGTCCTCACTTTTGGCCTGGCTCAAGATGCTGTAAGTCTCGTTCTGCAGACATCTCATCCGGGACACCTACACGGGGATCGGGGACACACAGTCTGTGTCACAGAGCCCAGGGGACAGAGGCGTGGAGGTGGGGAAGTGGCATTAGTCCCGCAGGAACCAGAGGCGAGCGGGGACGGGCACAGGGCAGTCGGAGGAAGGAGGAAACAGATGTGGGTTTTTAAGGCTGCAAGACACACCAAGTAGCCCCACCTCTCCTTTAAGAAGCGAGGAGGCTGAGGATGGAGAAGGAAGTGACTTATTCCAGACCCCTTGGTGAGTAAGAGTCCAGACCTCAATATCCAATGCCCAACCCAGCTAGGCATTCTTGCTGTGTTGCCTCGAGGGCCCTCTCCTTTTATTTGCACATCCCCCCTGGACACCCCCCCCCCCCGCCGCCCCCTGCAACCTCTGCCTTGGAGGGCCTCGCTTACTCCAAGACAGGAGGGGGTGGGAGAGAGGGCTCTGGTGGAGGCCTCAGCCCAGAGAGGCAAGCTGGGAACTGTTTTTACCCCTGTTGCTCAGAGCAGAGTGGGGGGTGTGTGTGCGCACTCAGAATAGACCCCCCTGTGGTGACCGACTGAAGGGCTGAGGGGAGAAGGAGGGGGCGGGGTGAGGGGCTTACCTTCCGGTCCCGGCTTTTCATCAGGCACTGTTGGCTTTTGAAGGCACAGTAGTTTGGGTACTGTACATAGTCTGTGTCACAAATCTAAGCCAGGAGCCAGGAATGGGGAGGTGCGGAGACATCAGAAGCCTTCTAAGATGCCAGTCCTCCAGAGAGAGCCCATAATGGCCAAACCAGGGCCATGGGTAGAGCCCTTGAGAGCCAGACCTTCCACACCCAGGGTGCCCCCTTCTCTGAGGAATAGGCCTCTGTCCCCTGTGCCTTTCCTGTCCCACCCTCAGTCACAGTTCGGTGCTGAACAGAAGCCAGGAGGCAGAGAATTAAGTGGCTGCCCTGCTGGTCAGCTTGCTGGGAAAGTTGCTGAGGAATAGGGAATGGGGAAGGGGCCCCAATCAGGGGTCCAATCTCAGGGAGCCTTCTAGTGATGGTTAAGTGAGGGAGAGGGTAGAAGAATCTCTAATGTATGACCTTGGGTGAATCACTTCCCTCTGTGGATCTCATCTCCCCATCTATAAATCCAGGGGAGGAGGAGGGATGATCTCTGAGACCCTTTCTAGGATCTACCACTCCTCAGGCCCAGGGATAAGAGCTGGGCAGGGGCCCCTCATCTCAGCTACCAACCCTTTCTTAAGCTGCCCTGGCTTTTCCTGGCCTTGACTTTTCCTGCTAAACCACAGGAGGGAGGGGCCTGGCTGTCCGTCAACAACTAGTAGCTCCACAGGGGAGGTCACTCTGGGGAGAGAGGGAGCAAAGTTGATTCCACTGAGCAGAGAAAGTGCTGGAACCGTAGGGCAAGGAGCCCGCCAGACTGAAGCAGGGCAGCACTGGGTCACAGGTCCATGACACCTTGGGCATCCCCTCATTATTGGTTGTAAAGGTGAGTCTAACTTTGGGCCAGTGTGGGAAGTGACTTGACCAAAGCCCCTCAGCAGGGACCCTGAAGAGCTGGGATCAGAACCTCTGTCTCCTGCCTCCCAGTCCTGTGCTCTCCCGGCCCCTCCGCCCCTCTGATTCCTACTCCTTTCACAAACACAATCCTGCTCGCTTTTTTTTTTTGAGAGGGGGTGAGGGGTGGAAGGGTGTCTATTGGAAAAGAGGCAGGAGGCTCAGTGAGGACTGGTCCCCCAGAAGCCAGAGGCCTAGCCCCCTTGCACATCTTAGGGCTACTTAGAGCAAGGAACTGGAAGGAATGGGGACAACTGGGGTAGGGTTGAGCTTTGGGTAAAGGCTCTGACCTTGGTGGGGAAATCCCCATCCTGGAAGCTAAGGAATTCCGTCTGGAGCCAGCCGGACACCCGAATATCTTCACAGCCCTTGGTGGCCAGCCGGGCGCACCAGAAGTCCATGCGGAGCCCACCATACATATCCAGCCCGTAGAAGCGGCCTGATGTTGGGGTCCCTACCTGTGGCACAGGGGACAGGGGAGAGGTGCATGCCCCTGCCCCCCTGCAGACTTCCCTTCCCACTGCCCTTTCCTTCCTGGAGCCTGAGGCCTCCCCCACTGCAGGTTGCCCGGCTAGGTACCTGGGTACCGATGGACATGCTCTGGGCTATGAGCAAGGGGCTGATGAAGGGTGTTTTGTGCGAGTTGTCACACAGCTGTCGCTGCAGGACCGCCTCCGAGTGGCACTGTTCCAGCTTCAGGGAGCAGAAGTCACAGAGGGCACAGGTGGCTGTGTGTCGCCGCCCAAGGCTGTCACAGACCTGGGGCAGGAGTGTGGTTGACAGACTGAGGCTGAGACACTTCCAGCCCTGCAGCACTGTCCCTGCAGAATGTCTTCCCATTAAGGCTCTTCAAGGCTTCTCTGGCTTTCCTCCCTGACCTCTCCCCAAAGGCTCCTCCAGGACCTCTGCTCAGTGTTCTAACTCTTCACCTTCTTCCTGCTGTGTCTACTCCCAGGTAACCTTCACCTTTCTGCAGGCAACACCCAAATCATATCATCCGTTCCGATCCCTTTCCTGAGCTCCAAATCCTCACTGCCAAGTACCTGACAGATGTCTACCACCAGGTGACCTACAATCACTCCTTTTTTTTTTTTAAGGAATTTATTTATTTATTTGAGAGAGAGAGCTCACACAAGAAGTGGGGAGGGGCAGAGGGAGAGGGAGAAGCAGATTCCCCACTGAGCAGGGAGCCCGACTCGGGACTCAATCCCAGGACCCTGAGATCATGACCTGAGCCGAAGGCAGACGCTTAACGAACTGAGCCACCCAGGTGCCCACAATTTTTTTTTTTTTAAGATTTGCAATCACTCCTTAGACTCTGAAAAGGACTCATGATCTTCTCTTTCCCTCTCTCTGCTAATGATAATGCTAATATCTACACAGTCGAGACAGCGCTAAGCACCATGGCCATAAACACTCTCGTCTCAGTTAGCCTTCACCAGAGCCCTATGCTAGACTAGGTACTAGAAACATCTCCATTTGACTGATGAGGAAACGGGCTCAGTTGAGGCCGGGTGATCTGCTCAGAACCACGCGTCTAATAGATGGTGGAGCTCTATTCTGCTAACTCCCAAACCTACACTCTACCCAAGAACCCAGGTCCAAAACCTCCAAGTTCTTGGAAGACATTCTTCAGAGCAGAGTTACCCATCTCCTAGCTGGGAGCTGCGCCCTGACTGGGCTTCCTCCGCATTCTAGGCTGGGGCTTGCTAACCAGCATGTCCCATTCATGCCATCCTCCCCCTTCACGCGTGGGTACATGCGTCATAGTGCACGGAATCTCTTATGTCACCTTGCTTACTCCTCACACCAGCACGTAAGGGAGCATCATCATGTCCTTGACTCAAATTGTTATTGGGTTAGCGCTTCCTACCAAGTTCAATACAAATGCTTCAGGCCGCTGTTTGAGATTTTTCACCTTAGGCCCCTTCCTATCTCTCCTGCCACTCTGCTCCGGGTAAAAATGGGCTCCCGACTGGTCCCTTAACCAAACCCCGATATCCAGGGAGCTCTCCATGACTCCTGAACTTCCTACCCTAAAAAAAAAAAAAAAGTCTCAGGGGGCACCTGGGTGGCTCAGGTGGTTAAGCGTCTGCCTTCGGCTCAGGTCATGATCTCAGGGTCCTGGGATCGAGTCCCACATGGGGCTCTCCTTTCAGCGGCGAGTCTCCTTCTCCTTCTGCCCCGCCCCCCCATGCTCTCCCTCAAATAAATAAATAAAATCTTAAAAAGAAAAGTCTCTCTCCAACACCTACTGCGCACTTCTTTTATAATGCTACTGAATCCCTCATGCTTTCAGAGCCCTTAAGGGCAGGAGCAGTATGCTCATTCTTGGTGCCCTACTATTCCCTCTAACAGGAACCTCTACCAAGCCCCTTCTTTTGCCTGCGTAACATCTTTCATCTTCAGGTCTCTGTTTTAAACATTGGTTCCTCTAAGAATTCTCTGATCCTCCCAAACATGGACCATGGGGTGCCCCATCTGCTGCGTCTGGACTATGTACTTATCCATGGCTGCATTTATCCATCACACTATTCTGCCTGTTTCCTCATCTGTCTCTCCCACTAGAGTCTAAGAAGACTGGATCTATTTTACCCATCACCAACATCTCGAGTACCTAGTACAGAGTTGGTACACTATACTAAAAAACCAATTATTTAACTTGCTCGTTGGCCATCCTCTGGGCCTGGCACTATGCAATATTGAACAAATGGGTGAATGGAGGGCATGCTCACTCTTAACAAGTGCTTACTAACTTGTCTTATTTGAAAGCCTACAGAATATCTTCCTGGGAATAGGATTCGCTTGGTGCTGAGGGCACACTGAGACTGGGATCTCTCTACAGATCCTTGGAATGGGATCTATGGCCCCCCTGGAAAGGAGAGCTGCATCCAAGGCAAAGCCAAGTATTGAAGATGGTGAACTAGCTCAGGAGATAACTCAAGCCTAACGGCTCAGAGAGATGAAGACTGAACTCTGGACTGGAAAGGATTCCAGACTAGGTCTTGGGCCTTTTTCCTTTAAGGTGAGCCGGAGATGTCCTCCTAAAGAAAGATTCTCATTCAGAGAGAATGTCTCTCCAGTGATACCTTGTGCTTTCTGTATCCCTGCCTTTCCCCCCTCACTCTCAAGGCCCAGTCTAGTGCCGGGTGCAGAGGATGGCCAAAGAGCATGTATCCATTAAACAGCATTGCAGGCATACCGGCTTCCCGAAGCCAAGGATCTCCTCCTCTATGTACTGCCAGGCCCTGGCTGTGGGGGTTATGGTGCAGGTGTTCTCCACAATCGAGTAGCATAGCACCAACAATGCCTCTACGTGGGGCATCTGCAGGAGGCTGCAAGAAGACAGCGTTGGCTGGTGGGCATGGCCGGAGGGCTGGGGCAGAAAGCCACATCCACTCTTCCCCCACCCCTCCTTGGTGTCTGGTCTTGGTCACACACATTCAGCATGCTGATGGGGCTTTAGAGGCCTCCAGGCCAACTGCCTCCTTTCACAGATGAGGAACTGAGAAACAGAAAGGGAAGTAATCCTCCCCAAAGCTGCAGTGCTAATCAGAGGCAGAGACAAGACCAGAACCCAGGCCCAGGTCCAGGGCCCATACCATCCCATCACACAGAGCAAGGGCATCTAGGACAGTGCTTAAGGCAGTGATGGAGACAGAAGAGGTGAGGCAGACAGCTGCTAGGAGCGCCTGAAGCCCAAGCAGGTCTGAGTGGGTCTTGGAAGCCGAGGCTGGGTAAGGGAGCTTCTCCTTCCCAAAAAAGGCAGCAGCGGGGACAGGGTGGTAGCCGGGGTGCGTAGGTCAGAACAGCCTGTACCTGTCACGGGTTGGCTTTTTCCAGACAGGTTCTTCATCATACAGATCATTCATTTCATCCATTTCCTGGGCTGATCGGATGAGCTCCTGGATGTTCTCCATCATCATAGGAGTGGACTCCACTTCCCGGACTCGGGGAGTGAAGGAGAAAGGGTTGGAAGACACAAATTCAGACTGGAACTTGAGCTCTGGGTCTGTCTGCAGCCCAGCCATTGACTCCAGTCCCTCCTCTGCCCCCTGTCCTTCCTCTTGCTTTCCCTCCTCCTCCAGCTCCTCTTCTTGCTCTTCTTGCTCCTGGCCCTGCTCCTGCTTATGCTCCTGGCCCTGCTCCTGCTTGCGCTCCTGCCCCTGCTCCTGGCCCCCCAGGGACAGGGAGGACTGTAGCAGCTCCTCCACGTTGTTGCTAAGCCTCTCGGGCCAGGGCTGGAAGGCCTGTCGTTCTGTGGCTGCAGAAGGGTTTGGGAAGGACCGAGAAAGAAAATGGGAAGAAAGAGTCAGGCTTCTGGCCCCTGAGAGGGACACACACAGAAACACAAAGGCACAGGAAAGCAGCCTAAATGACATTCACACAGCCGAGCATAAAAGACACGGGGAAGACTACGAGTATGAAAATAAAAGAAAAATTGCCATGGCAATTATGGCAACTGTGGTTCTCCTTTCCACCTCCCCGACAAGTGCTCCTCTTCCCTAGCTCCCACCTCAAATCCCACCTTTTGTCCCTCTCACTTAGGAAACACCAAAGATGCTGAATAGCGAGCAACAAATCCTTTCTAGAGTGAAGATGGCGGCTTATAAAAGTCCCAGAGGACTTCCAGACGCAGGAATGGGGGAGCTGGGAAAAGTGAATTTTTCCTAGAATTGTAAGCAATGTCAGAAGATACTCCTGGACGGGAAAGCCCCACCTTGTATTCATAAAAAGCAGTCTCCAGCCTTATGTAACCATGCTGCCAGCCCCCCACTCCCCAGCCCTGCTCAACATTCTTCCCCATTCCCTACCACCGATGCCTTAACTCCTGGGCTCTGGGATTTGTGGAAGGGCTTGCAGGTAGCCTCCCAGGTACTGGCAGGGTCTCACCTGTGACATGAGATGAGAGGGGGGAGGTCATCGTGGTGGGAGGGACATCAGAAGAACTGTCAATCTCCTTGAGAGTGTTAGGTGAGAGGATTGAGACTGGTTGGGAGCACCGGACCCTCTGCAAGAAGAGAAGGACAGTGGGCATGCGTTTCCCATAGGGCAGACTTCTACTCCAGCGTCCAGCTCAGTCCTTTTCTGGCATGTCTCCTCTCTCACAGTTGCTGGGCAGGGATGAAAGGATATGGTCCCTGGTGGAACCCTCTAAACCTGAGAAAGGGTTCCCCTGTGAGATAAGACTCGGTGTCTGGGCCACACCTCTGCCTTCACTCTTGTGTTTGACTTGAAAGAAATCACTCAAGTATTAGAAGAAAGGGGAGGCCTTGTCCCTTTGCCTCTTCTCTGCCCTCTTCCCTACTTTCCTTGCAGGAACAAGACTATTCCGTCAGTCTGGACACCCAAGGTGAGACTGTACTCCTACGTACTCTGAGTAAAGGATTGGCAAAGTGGCAGGGAGGGAAGATCTCAGGATGGCCCTCCTGGAGCCCTTCTTCAACACCTCACCTCCCCGGCCCCCAACTCCCCCGTGGTCCTCAGACACCAGATCCAACCTTTGTCCCCGGCCTCACCTTGGCGTAGTAGACGTGGTTGGAGCAACGATACTGAGTAAATTGGCAGAAGGACTCAAACCAGGAGGCATAAGGGAGGTCGGAGCAGACAGCGCCTGAGAATGGGCAGGGGTGGAGAAGGTGAACACACACAAGGGGGAACCTCTCTCCCCGAGGGGGAGGGGGCAGTGGGCTCCTTGGGTCTGCAGAGTGGAGAATATGGCCCCCGGCTAAGGAGCCGGCCATACTCCTCCCCTCTCAAGCGAGCACCGGGCTGCCCCACCAGTCTGGCCCTCACCGTCCGGCACCAAGCCGTGATTTTCGTATTGGTCCAGCTGGACGAGGGTGGGGTTCCGGCAGCCGTGCGTTGCCCGGAGACGGCAGGTAGTCTCTGCTTTCCAGGTTGGGGTCAGCAGTGCGAAGAAGCGTTCATATTCGGTGGGAGAGAGAGGGCTGCCTGGGGTGGAGGCCGAAATTGAATCCTGGGCTGGGGCAGGTGTCAGAAGCAGGAGCAGCCCTGCGGGGCAGGGAAACAAACGGATGGATGGACCGAACTCCAAAACCCGCCTCGGGCCCTGGACAGACTCGCAAACGGGCCCCGTGGAAATCAGCAACTGGGGGATGTCTGGCCGGCGATCCCCGCGGATCAGGGTGAGGAGATTCCAGGGGCAGAGGGTAGGGTCTGAGCCCAGAAGCTAGGGAGCAAACCCAACGTGACAACCCTGAGAAAGCGTTTCAAAACCTTGTAACAAGGGCGCTTGGGAGGTGGAGGACTGAACCCCGGGAGAAAGACTGCTCGAGTAGGCGGGAACCTCTCACCCTCGAGGAGTGAGAGAAGGAAGCCGGCGGCTAGCTTCCTCATGGCCCCAGTCGATCCGCCCGCGTTTCCCGGACCAAAGCGGCCTCTAACGGGCCAAGCCAGAGAGAGCCGGCGGGCGCGGGCTTGCCGATGGGGGAGTAGAAGGTGCGGCCCCCGACGTCACAAAGGGCGGGGGGCGGGGCCGCGGAAACCGCAGCGCGCTCTGGGGGTCACCGCGCCTGCCCGGTGGGGTGGGGGGAAGGGTGTAAGGGTCCTCACGTGTGTCATAATCCACCCCCGGAGGATAATGACGGCAAAAGCCATCACGGACTCAGTACCTTCGACGGAAGTGGCCCCGTGCTGTTCTTTGTATGTATCACCTTATTGCATTCCCGAGGTAATCCTACAAAGTGGGTACTGTTATCCCTGCATTACAGATGACAAAACCGGGGTTTGGAGAACCAATCTGCCTAATGGGTGGTGAGGCCAAGATGGGAATGTAGGTGGGGTTCTAGGGCAGGCAGGGATGGAGTGTACAGAACAAAGTCAGCCTACCTGGGTAGGAACTAGAGGGATCCTCCAGGTAAGAAATGAGCCAAAGGGGGAAGCAAGCCAGGTTCGGGTGAGGAGGTGCTCAGGTGTAAGGATGGTTCAGTCTAAGGACGGGGTTTCCAAATGGGAGGTGAGCAAGACAACCCATCGGCATAGGGGCAAAATGTTTTTCCGTTTTGTGTTTAAAATAAGAAATCAAGCTAATAGTATAATAGTACATGCATAAAACACACATACACGTTTATTGGAAATTAAGTGAAAGATGTTTTATGGAGAAAAGATGCAGAATTTTAAAAGTCTGGGAAAGCCCCAGGCTGCAGCACTTCCCCTCCCCGCCGCACCCCTTCCCAAGGTGAGAAGTTGTGGATTCTGGTGCAGAGGTACCGCTTCTGGTTTCATGCCTTGTTCTACTTCCTCCCACCTCTAATCCAACCCAGAGGATGCAAACAAAATGCTTAGCACACGTACTGAAATACGGTCTCTACAATAAACACAGCAGGCCAACATGGATAGCTTTTATTCACCTACTCAAATTCCTTTACACATGTGTATGTGCATTCCACCTTGCCCCCTCTCCCACTCACAAGGCCAGGATGAATCCTCTTGGCACAGAGGAAGGGGTGCCCCTTCAACTAAGGCCACAGCCCAGATGCTCTGGGGGATCCCCTACCTCAGAAAAAGCAGGAAGAGAACAAAGAGAGTTTATCACACCAGAGCACCCCCACAGGGGGAGGGAATCAGGAGGGCAGGGGAGTGCCCCCATGCTACTGCCCCAGTCCTTGAATACAAAGCAAGGGGAGTGAAGAGGACCATCCCTTGGAAATACAGCACCAACCTCAGCACAGAGGCAAAAGGACAGTGGGCAAGACCACTTCCCTCTGAGGGGGGCAGGCTGAATCAGAGTACAGATGGTTAGTGGCTGCGGCACCCCTCCCTACCAGGGTTTGGATGCAGCCTCAGCACCAGGAGTGGGGAGAGGGGAGGAGAAGGGATGACTACACTGCGCCATCCACTCTCCCAGAGCCCCCGGGCCCCAGCACAGGCTTTCCTCTCCCCACTAGCCCAGGTCCAGGGATGTAGAAGAAACCGTGGGAATCCAAGGCCCCTATCTATTTCTTCTTGCGTTCCTGGGAGCAGCGTGGGCAGAACCTAGAGAGGAACATGATAGAGAGAGGTGGAAGGAGAAAGTGAGTGAGAGGGAGTGCCCTCCTCCACGCAGCTCAGGGGCAGCCCGGCGCCTGCCGCAACTCTCTCACTCACCACTTCCCCCGAGGCTTGGTCGTCAGCCCCACACAGGCAAAGTGGAACCACTCGATGGAACACTGAAAAGGAGGAAGATGGAAGAAGCAGAAGTCAGGGGCCCAGGTGGAGCAGAGGAAAGAAAAGAAGTTTCCTCCACAGATTCCTCAGAAGTGTTCCCGTATTCCGTCCCTTTGGAGAAATCTTGGAGGTCCTAAGGCCAACCAACTCCACCTTCCTGTTATTCTGGAGTCCCACTATTCAACCGTTTCTTCCCCTCTTGTACCCGCTCCCTCGTGGCCCCCAGAACCCCATCTGGAGGCAAAACGGTTGGTTCTCACATCAGGGTTGTCACAGCCAATCATCTCTCCATAGGAGACCTGGTGACAAAGGCAATAGGTGGGTTCGTTGGGATCCACAGGCATATCCAACACATCAGAGGGGTGGACACTGCCAAAGGTCACTGAGGGCATCCCATACTCAGGACTTCTGCATGCCGAGAGGAAGAGAACGTGTCATCTGCAGAAAGGGAAGCTAGAAAGGTGGTAGAAAGACATCCTGGAGGGGCAAGTGATTTGTGGCGTCTCTTTTCTATCCAGCAAATACCACAATGACAAGAAGTTACTGGCACAGAAGATGGAGAGTGGCTAGGGGCAGTGTGGGGTGGGAGTGCGGGGCAGGAGAAAAAAATACACTGTGTGGCAAAGCGCCCCCTTGTACACTCACGTGCGCACAAGTTTCAACTTCTTTTGGGCAGCTTTGGGAGCTTCTTCATCTGAGTTTTTCCCTTTGGAACGAGCACGGGCAGCTTTCTTCTCCTTTTGGGTCCGGCCTTCTAGGAAAGAGGGGGAAAGCCAGAAGGCAGGGAGACAGAAAGATGGGTTAAGTCTTCCTGCTCGAGCCCCTCCCCCGTAGCCAAAGTGTGGCGGCTTCTCCCTCTGCACCCTCCCGCCCCCTCTCAAGCCCCGCCCCCCTCCTCACTCTTTTTGCCTTTGCTGGAAGAGCTGTCATAGTCACTGGACTCAATCTGCTTCTCCTTCAAATCAGCCTCGAAACGGGCCAGGTCTGTGTCCAGTCGCCGAATGTGTTTGTCCACCTAGGTGCAAGAAAGGAAAAGAGAGAGCTACAAGGCTGGTTTGGGCAAAAAGAAAATAAGGCTAAGGCACATTCTGTGTATCTCCCAGACCCAAAACAGATCCCCACACAGCTGAAGGAGGGGTCTAGGACCCCAAGGATTAGATGGGAGGTAGGTGGGGAGCCGTGAACAGGGCCATACCATCTCATAGGTCTGCATGGCAAGCTGCACCTTGTCGTCACCAAATTCCTTGCACTTGCCATAGGCTTCCTGGATCTGTTTGAGAAGGGCCAATTTTTCCTCGGAGCTCAGGCTGCGGGCGCTACTCATATACTCAGTGGCCAACTTGTCAATTTCAGCCTTCAGGTCTACAACAGAGACAGAGGCCGGGTCACAAAGGCCCCTGAGTGGCTAGGTGAAACACACTTCTTCCTCTTGTTTCTTGGACCTTTTCCATTGACCAGCATCATAACCTTCGAACTAAAATGCCCTGAAAGTTCACAGGTACTGTGCCATTTACTCAAGTAATGCAACATATTGACAGTATTTGTTTTAAAGGTGCCTTCAGGCGAACTGAAGTTAGTGAAAAATAAGGAGGGAGCCTTTGCACACCGCACTAATACGAAGTATATTTTTGTTGGTGTCCGCAGATGCTTCTTTGCAGGGCTTGCTGCTTCTTGAACCATGAATCTTGTCTCACAGGCTTCCTGATTTCTTCTCAAAAAACATTCCACAACAGCTCTGAGTGCTGCGAAGCGGCTGGGTCATCTGCTGCGGCTGCCTTCCAGGTCTGTACATCTGTGACTCATCATTTAAAACTAGGCCCTAGTTCATTTATGTAACAGTTCTTCTACCCTACTTTGCTCATCGTCTGCAACCTGCTCGTATTTCCCGTCACTTTTTCTGTTTGTTCATCTTAGACATTGCTCCGAACATTTTAATATTGGAAGGCTGGCGATGTCCCCAGACACTGAGACTGTAGATGCCTACCGCCTACTATTTGGTAGGACTCATATAAAATGTCGATGAAAAGAGACAAAAGAGTGACTGTAACGTGGTGCAGCGACAGACAACTGGAAGGATCTGTGTGCACACTATGTTTGTGCCCCCTTTCATGGGAGGAAGCTGGAAATGCATGTAGTTTGATAATGTCCCAACCGGTCTTTCTGTGCATGAACTCAAGAGTAGGGACTGTGATACCAAGGAAGCAAGCTAGTTCTCAGCATCCGCCAGGCAGTTCTCGGGGCCGGGGGTGGGGTGGGGTGGTGTCCTACATCCAGGATTTTACATGATGTTCACCTTTTCATGAGTAAACTTACCCAGAGTAACTGAAATCACAGCTTTAGGTATTCTAACACCAGCTTGTCACATCCTTGAGCATGGCTACATAAGGATGGAAGGTAAGACCTATATATCCTTCAGCAGGTATGGGGCATGGCTCCAACAGATGACATCTTTGCCCTTGAAGAGACCAACCTGACCACTGTGGTGTAGCCTCAGGCTCCAAGTGAATGCCTCAATGCAGCCAGATTTGCTCAACATCCAAGGAAGGCCACAGATGGTATCTAGTGCTTCTGTAAGGTTGAAGAATACAGTGTAGAGATCCTGTTGTTAATTGCTGCTCTTCCTTCTTTTTTTTTTCTCTCTCTCTCTCTTTTTTTTAAGAACTTCTCTACCAACATGACTTGCGGTCTACAGCCACATTGAATTTTGTGATACAACATTAACAATCCAGCAGAGTAGAAACATCCTAGTCTTCCTATAGATATATTGAATACAGAGAACAGAAACGATTCTAGAGTTGACTTCTTTTTGAATTCTTCTTGCAGATATAAAGAACAGAGCATCTTTGAGTTCTTGAGGCATTGCTGCAATACTCTATTATGGAAACGCTGATCTAGAAATGCAGATCCTCACTGCTCTCCTTTTAAGAATTGCAAGAGAGTAAAAAAGAGAGAGAAGCCACAGTTCGCCAGATCAGACCAGATGATATGGTAACACCAAACAGAAAAAAGAAATGATCATACACACTCATTATACACCCAAACTCCTTACTCTGTACATACCCTCTGTTCTTTGGTCCAGGTCCCTCATGAGCTGAAAGTTTCTCTGCAGTTCGAAGGGGAGATTTTCAATACCTAGGGAGAAGAAGAAAAAGAATCACTGCACTTCATAGGCCTTATAGCTGCTTTTAAAGCACAGATCCAAAAGGGGACTCAGTTTCCCCTCCCTGGAACAGCTGGATTAACCCAGAACAGCTGGATTAACCCAGAACAGCAGTCATCATTCCTTTTTCAGTGGAGGCTGTGTCTGCATCTCTCCACAACTAACTTTGCCATCTCTTCACAGCTTTCCCACCATTTGCCCCTTCAGTGACCTTACTCTATCAATCAGCCCCTCCTTTCCCTTGATTCCCTTCAAGCTCCTTGCCCTCAATCCAAATACCTACCTGGTATCCTCCACTATCACTCACTCACACACACACACACACACACACACACACACACACACACACACTTCCAATCTGCTCTCTGTATCGTAGTCAGAATATTCTCTTAAAAAATGCAAATCTCATCAAGTCACCCTCCTGCTTTATAACCGTCTGGTAACTTCCTATCACACAATTCCTATTCATATTTTGTACTTTCTGGCCCATGCTCGCCTTACTCCAGCCTTGATTCAGGTCAGTCCCCCTTTGTGCTTGGTCTGCCCTGATCAGACTGGCCTTCTCTTGAGTGCCCCCCAACTTTGCCAGGGCTCATACTGCTACCCAGCTTTCCACGTGCTGCTTTCTCTGTCCGGAATGACTGCTTGTTCTTCATCCCACCCCCACCATACTTCTTAGCCTACTAAACTGCTGTTCATTCTTCAAAGTTCAGCTCAACTCTGACTTCTCCAGACTCCAAGTGCACTGGATGATGCCGTCAAGTTATTCTAGCTCTACCCTTTTGGGCACTTACCCAACTGCAATTAAATCATTAATTGTGTAACCAGTTATTTGGTATCTCTCGCCCTAGCCCTCCAGAAGGACTGGACACATCTGTCTTCTCACTTATTTTGCTATGACTTGTGTACAGAGGGTCTTCAATAAATACTTGAATAAATGCACATATAACTTAAGTCTCTCCATAAAAGAAAAATCTCTTCCCATGACTCCATTTCAAACTTTTAAAATACCTCCACTGCTTTAAACTATAACGTCAGGTCTGCCATCCCCAGTTTACTGAGATTACTTTAAGTCACCAATGACTTACCAAAACAAATGATCTGTTATTAGTCCTATCTTAAAAAATATGTCTGCAGCAGTTGGCACCATCTTCTTTCCTTCAGTAACTTTCTTCCTCTTAGGATTCTAAATCTCATCATATACTTTTTGATAATTCCAACAGTGATGTTTCTTTAGCCTGTCCCTTAAATGTTAATGTTTTCTTTTTTTTTTTTTTTAAGATTTTATTTATTTGACAGAGAGAGAGAGTGAGAGAGGGAACACAGCAGGGGGAGTGGGAGAGGGAGAAGCAGGCTTCCCGCCAAGCAGGGAGTCCGATGCGGGGCACGATCCCGGGACCCTGGGATCATGACCTGAGCCGAAGGCAGACGCTTAATGACTGAGCCACCCAGGCGCCCCTGTTTTCTTGAGATTATACTTTAATCCTCTCATTTTCCCACTTTCCTTATATTCCCTGAATGATCTTGACCTCATTCACTCTCATACAATTACCATGCCTATGCTTAAGTTTAAAATTGAATTAGGTATATTGCTGTTACTCCTGATTCCCTATCTTGCTGATGGTATCATATCCACCTCACTTCCCAAGCAGGAAATCAGAGTCACCTTAGATTCTTCTTTCTCTCTCAACTACCCAGTCATTCAATCAGTGCTGTCCTTTTAGCTCCTAAAGACTTCTGTCACTCTCTGAGACCTGAACTTATCATACATCAGTTGTTTTCCCTTATTAAAACCTATTTTTAAAATCTGTTGGTTCTTCGGTATCTAAAGTGCAAGCCTCTTAGGCTGACTTAAAAGACCTTGCACAATCTAGCTCCAGCCTTTCTCCAGCCTCACTTCCCAATCTTCCACCTTAGAGTCCTATCTATCAAGCACTCTGACTTCACCTTTCCTTGACCTGCCACAAACCCACCATAATGCCTTTGCTGATGCCCTCTCCAACCAGAAATTTCCTTTCCTTCTCCACACTGGCAAATAAACACTCAGGTTTCAAAGTTCTATTCAAAGATCACATCCTCTGGTAAAGCTTTACCTACATCCCCAGGGAATTAGCCCCTCTTTCTCCAGTGCTACCAACTGTCCTTTTAATGTATTTCTATTATTTCATTTGTCACAGTTTTATAATTATTTATTAGCAGAATCTGTTTCCTCCTAGACTATGAGCACTTGAGGGCACGGTCTGTGTCTTACTCATTTTGGTATCTCCGCAGTACCTGCCATTATGTCTGACCCAGAGCAGGGCCTCAATAAATGAATGGATGACTCCCAACACTAAGACAAATAAATGTAAGCGCATAAGGGTGACAGGCTTTGTGAAGGGGTGGGTAACACAGATGGCATAAACACAACACCAGATTTCCATTCGATAGGAATTGGATCTTTACTCCAAGAAGAGAAGGTTCCAGTTTTACTACCTGACAGTGGTCACTCACAACCCGCGATCCCCATGAGAAACCGCTTCTCAGAAACAACTGAGCGGAGGAGCTGCGAGCAGGTCTTTGTCGCTGCTCCAAATAGCAGTGGGTGATATACTAAAACGACCGATCCTAAACGATTGTCGGGGGGGGGGGGGGTGGTGGTGGTGAATATCCTGAGGCTGGAGACCCTGGACATGGGCTCGGCAAATACCTTCCCAGCTCTGCCCATTAGCCCTACAAGAGACATCCCCTCAGCCCTACCGCGCAGCCCCTCCCTCGTCTACACCCAAAGCCAGGCCCCGACCCTGCTGCCCCGCCCCCTCTTTCTTCACACCCTCCAATATTTTCTCTCACGGAACCCCTTCACAATTGTGACTTTTTGACCACCGGGACTTCGGGGCCGTACAGCTCCTCAGCCCCGATCCCCCCCGCCACTCTATGACCCCTGACCCCCTCCTCCAGCCTGCTCTTACTGTCCAGATAATGTTCCAAATACATCCCCGCAGCCATCTTGAAGCAAAACAAAGCAACTTCCGATCCGCCCCGGAAGTGACTGAAACGCAACAGGCGCTGAAGCTATTATCCTTGGGTTGGAGCCTTTCCGCCCTTAAAAGGAGAGCTTCCGCCCTCAGTAAATTATTCGCCGGGACACATCCGCCCGACGTTGAAACTTTCCTTTTTGCGTAGGTAGCCGGGGCGGCCCGTGCCGAGGTGTCTTGAGGTGGCTTTAGCACGCTTCCGCCCTTACTGAGACCCCAGTACGCGACCGAAGCAGGCATGACGTCACTGCGGGTCGCCATTTTGCATTCCCTATCAAAAAAAAATTTTTTTTCCCTCCAAAACCAGGATGTGCGGTAATGAGGGGCAAAAAAACCCCCTTGTCTCTTTAGGATAGTATTCCATAAATATACCTTTTCAGCGACTGGGGACTCTGCTCCTTTTTGCAGGATATGAATCTAGTGACCAGAGCAGGTCCTGGCTGAATCAAGACTTTCTTCAAGGGAGCTAGTTTCTTAACGAAGTTAGGAAGGCGTAGCTGGTGTTGCGAGATTTAAACCCTCCGCACTTCTTTTCAATCGCACGAACATCGGCTCCCCAGGATTATTTTTTAACTTGGAAAGAAATCATTATTTATAAACTGTACTTATAAATACAAAGACTTACACAATAAAGCTGTAATTCTTAACAGTTGTCAGGGTTCCTGTCCTTTTCACACTCGAATACATTCTCACGTATAAAATGACATAGTATTTTTGGCCTTGCCCCTTGTTTTTATCCCCCCCCTTTTTTTGTTTCCCAGTTTATATGTGACTAGCACCATGATTCTGAAAGGATTGGAGCACGGAGCTCTGTCACAAGTGGGCCAGCTGTCATCCTAGTCAGCTACAGTATAATGAGGACTCTACATCAGGATGGAAACCAATCAAGTGCATGACAGACTGCCACCACACTGGGGAAACAACTCAAAGCCCATAACCTTAATAGTGGTGTTAGTAAGATAGTGTTTTGGAGACTGTTGTCCCCCGCACCCCCAACTCACACATTCGTGATAATTATCAATGCCACAGGGCAGCGTTTTTAATGAAAGATTTTTCAGTCACCTAATTTAGACCAAATATGTGAAGAAGGGTAAGATGAAACCTCAGGTTTACTACTGAGCAAGTGGTTAAGATACAGCAGTTGGATCTAGAAGACTTCACTCGAAGTGTCATGCCCCTGGATAACAATTTTATTCTGGTGCTTATGTCCTTCTCTATAAATTGAGACTAGTAGTACCTACCTCATAGAGTTCTTGCTATGATTGTGAGTGAATCCTTAAAAAGAGTAGATTCTGGTTTTAATAGCTGTGGTGAAGATAGAGCAGCCAGGACATTTTCAGCAATTGGCGAGAGCAGGGGAAAGAAGTATTCAGGAAGCTAGCAGACATTGACATGTTTCATCATAGATGATACATTCATTAGTGTCACAGCGCACATTGAGAGGTCTTGGATGCCCACCCGAGAGACTGGCTGAGCCCAAAACTTAAGTGGGCATTATTACTTCATGGACCATCCACATTCCTCTAGGTCATGAGCACGGCTGCCCAGCAGTACACAGATAGCCATGTTATTGGATGTTGGAGATTTGTCACGTTTTCAGTGCTTAAAGGTCCTTAATTCTCAAAAAGGAATCTTGGAGGCGATCTAGTCCGATCCCTTCTTTTAACAGCTGAAGAAGCCTCTCGGTGAACACTGCTTGGCGGTGGAGCCAGGGCTGAAGTCCAGGTTTCCTGACCACATTCTACTTTTCAAGCACTACAACTGTCCTGCATTGTTACTCAGTTCTGGTTATGGCTCCCACCACTGCAAACCTACAGATATAGATAATAGATATATGTATGTACGCACTCAGCCGGCTGGCATTAGCCCTGAGCTGGTGATGCTCAGGCAGGAGTGTAGGCCCTTTCAAGAGGGCATGCTTCCATTTCTTTCATGGGGAGCTTAGTGGTTTTATCAACACATGACTGAAACCTTGCTCTCATATATTTAGGCATCGCAGGCCCCATGACAGGATTTGTATGTAGAAACCCTCATAAACCAAGATCTCACTTTAAGTATCAATGCTGTGCCCTTCTACGCTTGGGGATACATACACCGAGTCTCATCACACAGCATTCACTCTTCACATACACACACTCTAGTGTAAATTCTTAGTACTGCCCTTGAACATCTCCCCAGGTAGCTTCTTCCCATGCTCGCTCATATCAGCAGCTCCACTGCCTCTGATCCTTTTACACGAATTTATTTCTATACAAGGTTCTAAAAACACCCCTTGGTTTGTACATAAGTTTTTTTTTTTCTTCATTTTAAATTGCTTTATAACAACTGGTTTCCTGATTTTTTTCATTTTCTCTTTTCTCTGAAATCTGCCATGATTTAAAAACAAACAAAAAAGGACAAAAGGAAATAAAAATGCCGTTGGCCAGAAGACAGGGTGGGTGGAGAGAAACAATAAGGACAAAAATAAACAAAACATCAAATATGAAAATTCTCAGAGATAATGCATTTATAAACACAGAAATGGTTACAACAAAAATGGCCATGATGAGTGGGTATATATATATATATTTATATATATATTTATATATAAATCCGTGTCCGGCAACTGACCGTGGCACCTAGGGAGCTAAGTCCAGTCCTTGTGTTTGCCCTGAACTCTCCCTTCTCTGCAACACCCCTTGTTTTGGGCTTTCATAAAGAACACAAAGCTCCCACAGCTCCTCTGGCTTTGGGATTGGGAGACTGAGTATGGGGCCTTGGCTGGCAGAGAAGGGGAGAGGCTCCAAGGAAAACCATAACCCACACTTCTAAGCCACCCTTGACCATTATGGGGATCTCCGGCCCCTTGGGGACCACATCTCAGCCCTTGCCCCTTTACAAATAAAGGGGGTCTGACCCCCACCCAGATCTCCCTCTTCCAGCATTAGGTAGAAGTGAAGTGAGACCATGAGGGGAAGACGGCTCCCGGGGATCGGGGCATGTGAGAAACCTCTGTTCTTTTGCAGGCAAGAATAGAACAGGAGGCTGGTTGCATTTAGGGCTCCCTTCTCTCAGAGATCCGGGAGCACCAGCCTCTAGTCTTCCATCAGCCCCAACTTTGAGGATTATGAGGGTAACGAGAGGGTAAGTGCCCACACTGGAAAAGTTTCTATGAGGTCATAGCAAATCCCTCCCTTGAGCACCAACCCCCAATTGTGAAAAGCTATGCTTAGAAGGGGAGGCTGCTGGATTACACTACCAGCTCATTATTCCTTTGCCAATCAGGAGGGCTGATGTTCCTTTTGAAGAGGAGTTGAGAATAAGCATGGTATCCTGTGTAGGAAGGCCGTGCCTGAGGCCCAAGGAGATGGAGCCAAGGCCTGTCAAGGAAGAAGACTTTTCCCACCAAGAGAAGTTGGAGAAAGAAGGGACCAGAACTTCTTTCCCCTCTTCCCAGTGGGTGGCAGCACAGGTCTCTACGAGCTGGCCAGGTGCTCCACCTGGATGGTGCTGGTGGTGACAGTGAGGCAGATGTCCTTATGATGCTCCGCCGTCTTATAGGGTGTCAGGTCAAAGGAACACTGGGGTGGAGGGTTGGGGTTGCTGTCCCCGCCGCCCCCACCCTGGGGGGCTGCCCCAGGGGACTGGAAGTGTGGTGGCTGTGGCTGCTGCTGCTGCTGGGATGCCTGGGAGGCCTGGGCCTGGGCCTGGGCCTGAGCCTGAGCCTGAGCCTGAGCCTGGGCCTGAGCCTGGGCCACTGCCGCCGCCGCTGCTGCCGCCTGCACTTGTTGCTGGAGATCAGGAGGGTTGTGTTTGCGCATATGTTTCATAAGGTACGTTTCCTGAAGGAGATAGAGAAAAAGAGTTAAGGGATGAAAGAGAAGGAAAGAGGTTACTTCTAACTAGCATCCTGGGCTCTTACTTTACTTTAAATAGAGCCATACTTCAACAGAGACATTCTGGAGCCATGGGCAAGTTCTCCCCAGGAGCCTCCGTCAGTGCTCACTATCGGGCAGGAAGGAGAGGGAGACCCTCAGAGTCACGGTAGGCATTCAACCGGCACAGGGAAAACTGTCATTTCCCCAAAGATCTTTGAGTGGAACAACTTTACCACCTCTTCCTGGAGTCCAGTGGAAAACATCTAACTGAAATCTTTCTCCCCAGATTGCGAGTTATTTTGCCTTATGTTTAAGTGAAATTAAGAATCATTGCTTAGCAATCTTTCTCTATAGGCTTAAGGGATCAGGCACCCCCTAAATTCCTTAGCTATAGATCTGTTTAATTTCGCCTCTCTTTACAGATTCTGACGAGCTGGAGCTAGGGAGCTCTCTCCGGGAAGATGGGGTGAGGTGGACTGTGTGGTCCCGCAGGCCTATGGGGAAGTGAAGGGCAGACACTGGCATGAGCACTCACCGACGTGTATGCCCGACTACAGATCGTGCAGGTGTACACCTTGGCGTGCTTCACCGTGTGCGTAGATAGGTGTACCTCTAGGGAGGCTGCGTCTGTGTACGCCCGATGACAGTTGTGGCACTTGAAGGGTTTATCTTTGTTGTGCTGCCGTCTGTGGGACTGGGAAAATGAGGAGAAATCAGGATGAGTGCATCAGACTCAT